AGTTACTAAGAACATTAATTTGTTTACAGCAAGTATCCTTACATTCTAATTCAATCTCTCCGTCAGTATTCTCACTGCGAGAGTAATAAGTAGAGGTATCACTCAATGGAGTGGTGTCATTGGATGATGGACTAGAATGAATAGGAGATTGATTTGGGGTATTAGTTATTTTAAATATGTCAAATATTTGACTTTGATGTTCTTCAGTAATTTGTATTTGATTAAGCTTATTCTTAAGTTTTTCTTGAAGTTTACATTTATTAGAATAGTGACCCTTTTTTCCACAATTGTAACAAGTAACATCTTGGGTAGATTTTGACTTCTTCTTAAAGTGATTAGTTTATTTGTGATATTTCTTTTTTAGTTTAGCATAACACTTATCGGGTGATTTGGTAGGTGAATATTTCTTTCTATATTTAGCAAAGTATTTGTGTAAAGATCTCTTGTTATTATGTTTGCGTCGTAATGGTGTAACAGGAGATAGATCATATTGTTCGCAGAATTTCCTAATTCATATTTAGCTTTATGTTTATCTTTAGTAGCTTTTTGACTAAGTTTCAAATCTATACACATTTTTAATCCTTCTTTTTGAATTGTACTAATGATGTCACCATAAGTTAGATTATCATATTCTATAATACCAATAGGTTGACTAAGAACATCTCTAATCTTATGGGCAAAAAGACTCAATAATTCATTGATAAATTTCTCTTTCCAAAATGACTTAGTGTAATCCTCTCTAAGCATGACACAAGAGGTAAAGACATCTTTATACCAGCGAAAATCACTTAAAGTAGGGCAAGTGAGATTACTAAGTTGATCATGGATGTGAGAATGGATATTAGTAGGTGTTCTAATAAAATGTTTGACTATGGTAAATATTAAATTATTGATACCATCAAGTTTACCTGATCCTATATCTTCATCAAAGATTGGGAAATCATTTTCATCTAATTGTTGAGCATGTTGAATACTTTCACGTGTATCAGAAGTTAGGTATTTATCCCACCAAGATTTGAGCATATCGGTAAATCCGGAGATAAGTAACGAGACTATTTCAGGTTTAGTGTAATCAAGATAATTACTAAGGTAACTATTTGCAACCATGGACATATGATTTACTTTTTGTAGAATTTGATTTTCACTAAGACCATCAATATTCCATTCATATAATTTTTTGGCAGAAACAGAAAATTGATTGCTAATATTAGTTTCTTCAAATTGAAGATCTGGAGGTGTAGGTTTAGTATACGAATTTTTGGTGAGAGTAGTAGGATTAACTTTAGGATGTGTGATTCGGTTAAGATTATTGTTTTGGAATTGTTGGGCTATTTGATTGATTTCATTGTTGGATATGTCGGAGTCACTACTGAATTGAACAGGTGGTTGTTGCGTTAAGACCGTAAGGCCTTTTTCATTAGAAGTAGTGGATATTTTAGTAAATAATTGTTCAATGACTTCAAAAGTAGTAATATCATGGGTAACTAGGCTTAAACATTTCCTATTGCTAGGAAAATTAATAAGTGGCTTGTCTAAGGGTTTACTAGTGAAAGTATGACTAGTTGAGTAATCTTCAAAAGTAATTTCAATTTTGTCTAATTGTTTACCAATAGTTTTTAAACATTGATTAGTATAATTATTTTGTTCAATTACTTTTTTTATTTCAGATTCATCACCAGGAAGCTTAAAGGGAGAAACATGTACTACAGCACCCTTATGTTCAATGAGGATAGTTTCTAAAGAAGGTTGACTGGAAGAAACAGAAGTATTAGGGGAAGTTTTCCATTTAATTTTAATAATAGTATTGACTTTTTGATAATAATTTTCTAAATAATCAAAGGAGTAGATTTCAGTGTTGATTTCGTTCATAAATCTATACCATTTCTTGGTAATTTTTGATTGTTGGTGTTCATCATAATTGGTTCTATAAGTTTGTCGTTTGAATTTATTTTCTTTAGATTTGAATTCAACATGAAGTTTATTAAGATCTAAAATAAAAGGTTTATTAAGGGTTTATAATTGTGGATTAATAAGATGAATAACTTCAAAATCAGTTTGAGTAGGTGAATCCTGTGAGGTAGTATCTTCTTCAGGAAGATGTGTGTGAGTGGAATAAACTGGTTTACTAATTTGAGAAGTAGAAGAATTATCGATTCCTTTTAATTTACTATTGGTGGTGTTAAAAGTTTGGCAAATATGAATTTTTCAATCTTGTCTAGTAAATAAAGGTGTAGCAAAAATTTCATCATCTTCAGTATCAGTAGGGATACTAGAAGTACTATGGCGAGAAGATTGACTATGGAGTCGATTAAACCTTATATGAACATAACCATCATTATATTGTTAAATATCTTGAATATTTTGACTACCAGAAATATATTCAATATTAAAATCAAAAATTTTACTATTATTTATATATCTTTATATATTATTTATATAATTTAAATAAAGATAAACAAACCGAACTTGATGAGCTCAAACTTTGCTCGTTTACTAAACGAGCTGAAACGAGCCAAGCCAAACCGAATCCTTAACGAGCTAAACCGAACTTATTCATGAACCATTCGGTTCATCTGCAACCCTAACCAAAAGCCTCTTTATCTCCAAAAGGTAGAGAAGCCTAGACTATGCAAGATAAAACACTCATAATTCAAGAGTCTAGGTAAAAAGCAACCTCTTATAACCTAAGAGGATAGGTGTCACACCCCATATTTACGAGGTCCAGCCCACATGAGTAAACCACTCAACGATAGACGATAACTAACAAGACTGATGCAAATGTATATAATATAGGCACACAGTACATGTGTTATTCTAATTTTATACATTCTTAGATACAATATCTGAGTCGAATGGATGCTCTGTAACTAAAACACGCAAAGATGTTATAATCAAATTAAAATGTCCTAAGGCTTACATCATATACAAAGGGTGCAACCTTTACAAGAATGGCACACAGCCAATAACAACATAAATGGCCTACAAATAACTGAATCACCCTACATGGTTCCAAACGAAACTTCATGTCATAGTCCGCATCCACACATGTACAACTGGAAAAAATAAATAAATAAATAAATAAAATCAGCCACGTAGCAGTGCAAATAATCATGATGCAATACATATATATATATATATATATATATAATATGCTCAAATGCATTCTCAAATCCACTTGCTTTCTCAATAAAAACTCTTTTTCACAATCTTCAAAACCTTTTGTTTATTTAATACATTAGTTTGATATAAAATCTATTTCCACAAGTCAATCTAGGTATCTCAACACCAACTAGCAATTTCATTGCCAATTCCAATGCGAATACATCGTTAACCAGCAACAATTACATTGCTAAGACCATTTTAAAATCATTTCTTCCCAAAACCAAAATGATAATAAATAAAATGGGTAAATCTCCAAAACCAATACAACCTTTCACGGAAATTTCGTCAGTGAAAAACCATCTAACAGGACCAGTGTAAATATAGGCTATACGAGCACTACCATTACCATTTTACGAAAATTTCGTTCATAGGATCGGCACCCATGTGTATGGGCGATTTTCGGGACTTCTATCCTGGACACCCAAACCAACTTAATTGACATAACAACAACCTTTTCCCAAATTCACCATTTTATTTATCCTTTCTAAATAGCACAAGACATGTAATTCAAAATATTGTTTTTTCAAAACAATACAAATGTTCCAAAACATAATGCGAGAATTTTCAAAAATATTTTTCCAAAACATACAGTTTAAATTTTCAAAATTCATTACATGCTCCATGATATGCATGATTTATAAACAATCTAATTTGCTAGTTCGCATGCAATTTCTACAACAATCATAATTATCCTCCACCGATAGCCAAAAACAGATATCTCTAAACAGATAAATAAATTCCATTAAAGATACACTTTTCCAAAATCTCAAATGGGAGTAATAATACATATCCAACTCCACCATCATCATTAATCTTTATTTCAATTTCACATTACTCAACATTTTTCTATTTCCTCTTTACAATCTCAACAATTACATTTTAGGGCATAACCCCCTTTCCTCTTTGAAAATCAATTTCAATGCAAGAAATAGCTTATTTCAACATATGTCAACTCCAATTTCATAATCACAACATTTTTTAAGAAAACATTTGGAAACCTCTCTTTTACATTTTGATTTAATAGTCCAACAGTTTCCCAAAAAGATCAACATTTTAGGGTTTTGCCAAATTAGGACTTTTTACTTTTAAAAACTCATATATATTTTTTATAAGTGAAAAATAAACTTTTTATAACTAAACCATAGCTCAATAATTCCATTTGGAACGAACCCTCACTTACAAAACAAATTTTTAAAAAATCAATCCAAGAATAATGGAATCTATGTATTTAAAATACACCACAAATACACTATCGAACTCATATTGAGTTTAAGAAATAGATCTTACCTCTTGAAGCAAGAAGGGCACAAGTCAAAAAAATCACTGACGGCGAAACAACGATCCATTGAGATTAAATGGAAGCTCTCACCGTGCTCTACGTTTTGGTATATGGAACTAGGGGTAAAATGTGTAGAAATAGATGGAATCAAGGCTAAAAAACTTGAGAAAGCAAAAATGGCGGAAGGAGAGAGAGAAGGGAGTGAAAAGTGAAGAGGTTTAGCCCAAAAAGTGACTTTTCAAGACCTGATTCTGCGCAGTACGCTCGAGCGTTGAAAGTTGCGCTCGAGCGCACTATACTCACAGCACAGATTCGTAAATTTTAGACAAGTATAACTCTCTTGTCCGGACTCCGTTTAGGATCGTTCTTGTGTCCAAATTGAAGCCTCGAAAGTAAACTTTCCAATGGTTCTAGCCTCTAGCCTCACATCAAGATTCTGAGTGTGGAGAGAGAAAATGATAAAATAGTGAAGACTACTCAATAACAACTATTCGAATTTGAAATTTTTGATTCAATCTCATCCAACCACAATGGTAACACCTCAACCAAGGCTCAAATATCGACTAAGAAGGTTCCCAATCAAGATAATCATAGAGTCAAATATAATTCTATCATAACAAGAAGTACATAGTGCTACAGTAGGTAACTAGTAACCTCATCTCATCACCAATTTTACAATGCTTGGAAGTGACAATTGTTGTCTGTTACATTTAGAGAAGCTTCAATTTCTTCGTTATGTTCTCTTGGAAATGTTTTATTCATTACAGCCTTTTGCTAAGAATCACCTGCACCATGGTGTAGAAGCCTTTCCACTACTTGACTCATGGTAGGTTTGCATCTTCTCTTCCCCTACACACTGCAAGGCCACTCCAACCAATATTTATTATTTCCATCTTAATTGCATTGTATCTATCTACCTTCATCAGAATGGGATTATCTTTGGTAGGGTTTTTTATATTTTATTTTTTTATCTCAATAAGATTTAACACTATAAATCAAATATGTACATTACAAATCTCAATAATAATACATCAATCTAAGTATTAAAACACAAAAATAAAAGTATTGAGTTATGGAATGCATATATAACATTATATAAAGAAACATAAAAATAAAAACCATAAATTCCAAGTACACTCAGGTTGGGTAGAGGAGAGATATGTGTTGCAAGATTACTATAACTACGAACCAAGAGGCAGCAAACACTTCTCTCTTTTTTTTCCCTCATAAATTTCTAATAAAAGTAGGAGTTATATAATATATTTTAAATTATATAAATACATATCAAATTTGTTTCATAAATTTCTGAGTCGACATTTAAGGGGCCCTTAAGATATTCGATGGTCATCATGTACTGTCTGATGTCATGATTACTAGTTGGCTAGAAAATCAAAACTTGATTTTTATTGAAGGAATTTCTTCAATTTTTCATAATCTTCTCTCCATGATTACTAGTTGGCTAGAAAATCAAAACTTGATTTTTATTGAAGGAATTTCTTCAATTTTTCATAATCTTCTCTCATAAATTTCAAATAAAGTATGAGTTTATATAAATAAACATCAAATTTGTTTCATAAATTCTAATATACTTGGGTTGGGGTAGACCGCGCCACCCCTAAACTTTCACTTGGCGGAAAAGAAACCCACATATTTGAAGGTGGGGTGCTAGGGTTGGCCAAAATCATCATCCCTAGTTCTAGGGTACAATTTGGCCACGAGGACTCCTATCATCCTATTCCTATGTATTGTCAGATACATTTCACCTTCATAACAATTAACCAAGTACACAAGTTTGCAACTTCCTTTTCGAAATGTAATTAATGTGACATGTAAAACCAGAACTGTATTCTTCTTTACAAATATATATAAGGTTTTCATAAAACATCCCAACAGAGGTTTCACAAATTAGAAGCGCAAGAAGAGAAAAGCAAAAGCCAATGATCAAATCAAGCAGTTTGATTGTATATGTACATGTTACCAAACTCTGTCCTCAATCAGTCACCTTGTTTCTTAGAGCTTGCATCAAAACCTGCCGGTGTCTGGTAAGCAGATAGGAAGAAGGCACTTTGATTCTTCTGCATGAATCTGCATGACGATAATAAGTATGATCACAACAGTGAAATCTAATTAATATTGACAGAAAGGATAAATGCGTGAAGAGACCTTGACCGGCCAATTTTCTGAAAAATGTGGACTTTCTTTCTAAAAATCCGATTCCACAGTTGGATTCTTATCACGTCTAAGCAGCTAATAGAGGACTGACAATAATCCCAAATATATTTTTCTTTATTTTTCTTCCTTGCATATATTATCATTAACACAAAGCAACACAAAATTATAAATTATAGGGCACCATCTAAACCTATAAAGCGATAAGAAAAATAAGGTATAATTAAACTTTCATTGTTAAACAGTCTTCGACCAACCTATACAACATGAGTTTTTCAATTTCCTTCATTTGGACAAGGACTTCTATCGTAAGCATAGGCACATGGGTCCCACATGACCAGTCACATAAGCACCACTAAAGGGAAGGACCCAACAAACATACCCGCACTGCTCGACTCAAGACTCGTACCCTGATACTACACAGCCTGCCTAGGTTGGGACCAGAGCCAAGGGCTCCCTGACTTTGTCAGTGCCTTGGTCATTGGTTGCTCAAGCTACCAATGACCCAAGGGGGATCACCAGGGACTTCTGGATTAGTGGCTGTAGTCAAGGGATCGTCAAAGTTGTCCGATTCACCCTCTTGGGATGACCCCACTTTGACCAGTTTTAAAGCACGAGGGAGAAGCATCTTTGACCAAGTCAAGGATGAGTTGGCCTCCATGTCCCAACTCTTCTATAAAAGGAGGTCTCTACCTCCGTACAAGGCACACCTTAGGAAAGTTCCTCTGTCCACATTAGAGAGAGATTTACATCTCCATGGCATATATTCACAGCTCCACTGCCACTCTCTCTTCGAGTCTAAGACTGAACCCAACTCTCCTGGTGGTCTTTCACCATCTTTGTGCCTACCATCATTCTCAGAGTGCCCACAGTCTGCCCTCATCACTATAGACCATCCACAACAAGAAATATCACAAATAAAGATACAAGTGCTGCCAAACTTTAAAAAACATAATCAGAAGAACGAAAGATTTTATACTTCAGAAAATCTAGTAGTTTCTGCTGCAACTCCTTCAATGTCTCCTCTTCAATGTTGGCATAATATAGCATCTCTGGCAACTTTACTGCAAATGACATATAACAAAAAATATAAAATATGACATAAATAATCAAGCGCTGGAAGAAGCAAGGAACTTATCAGGACAATAAAACATGGTGAGAGTTTCCAACAAGAAAGCAAACTGAAAGGACAGAGCCTACTATACTATGTAATTGGCCAAAAATTACAGCAACATACTGGATTTACAACAACTAAATATACATGCATGCAGAGTCTCAACACATGATTCCGAATAGTTATTTTGCAACATTGCACAAGAGATGGATAGTAAATATCAAAAATTAATCTGAGTATCAAGATTGGGTATGAAAAATTAGATGACACAATCTGCCTCTCATGCTTTCAAATGCATCCGGAATTGGGATCCAGCTACAACTATAGATTCGTGTCTCCCCATCATCACTTATATTGTAGTTCGCTTTCCTACAATTTTAATTCATGAAAGATTGAAAGTTAAAACAAAGACCGAACTTAAATCCAAATCCATGAATCTGTTGATTACGGTTATTTTTGCAGGACTAATGCAGAATTTTATGACGCCTACAGATTCACAAAAATTGCCTCCATCAACGAGAAAGAAGGAAAGGATTTGAAAACACATGCTTTGCAGGATCTCTAATCAGACCATAAAAGATATATTTGCCAAATATCACATCTAACTGACCCTTTTCTTTATCTTTACTTGAAAAAAGAGAGTAAAATGCATACACCATTCTGCAAGCATGAATTATGCCCTGCCACTAAATCTAACAGCTGGTGATTCACTTTAGATTTACATGGAGGAAATCAGTAACTTCTCACAAGAAAACCAATCCACTTGGTTTAATTTTTGAAAAGAGTTTTTGAGTTGCATTTTGAAAGATAAATTGTTGAAAAGAATTTTGAAAATAATTTTGGAATGATTTGTAATTTTTTTTTTTTTTTTTTTTTTTTTTTTTAATAGATGGGTGTGAGTAAATTTGATTGATGTGTACAATGTGAGAGAATAAGAGAGGAGAGAGAAAAAATGACTAATTGATTTATTAATAAAAAAATAAAAAAAAAAAGAGGAGAGAGGAGAGAGGAGAGGAGAGAGAGAAGAAAAAAAAAACTTTGAAAAGAGTTTTGAAAATTGGTAAATCAAACATGTTTTTTGATTTTTTGATCCAAATGTTAATTTGAAAACTAAACCAAAGTTTTAACCTAACTTAAACAAGGTTGATTAGAGATCCAACTACAATTAGTACCTTCTACAGACCAGCAAGCAAAAAACAACTAAAAAATAATTCTCACACAATTAATGAAAGCAACATCAACAGATCCAAAATGCCATATCAGTATTTTACAATGTGAACCGAGAAAGCAATGCACACTTTTCAACTCAAAAGTATTTTGTATAACATCAAAATAAGCATACCAAAAAGCCGTAACAGATGTTCAGCACCATATACATTTGAAGGAGAGACATCATCTGCAATTACTTCTTGGTATTGCTGGCGTTCACTTTGGTATAGAAGCATAACTGGCATCGCTTTGTTGAAGTAACAACGCAACCCGTTAAGAATTTCTTGAACTGAATCAGCTATCCTTTATCCACCAAATTACAGTAAAACTAAAGTTACTAATGCCAATTTTGTAGTATTTCTATAGCACATGACAGAAAGTAAACAATCACAACAAAATTTGAACTGCCAAAATTGGGAGTAATGATCGCTGTAAGTGTATAGTCAAAAGTTCTGCTAATGGAAGCATTCAACACTGGTCATTATTTATGAATACATGATTAGTCCAGTTTAGGTGTCCATAAAAGATTCATTTATTTGCATGAAACAGCCAGAAGCCAAGACCTCAAATAGGTCAGATTGATCATCAGGTCATAAGCGGCCAAACCTTTATCCACTTTCTCCAACACTCAAACAAAAATATTCAATGTGTTTGGTTTGAGTTTTCTGAATTAAGTTTTTTGAAAATTAAGTTTTTTGGTTTTCGTATTCTTTTGTTTTTAGTGAATATTTTTTAAATTTTAAACATTTTTTTTACTTTTTTAGATGTACGCTAGTTAGATGTATCTAAAAAGTAAAAAATTTGTGAAAAAATATTTTAAAAAATTAATAAATACATAAAAATACAAAAAACGTACTGAATTCTTGTATTTTTTTTGTATTTTTGGTATTTAGTGAATTTTTAAAAGATCTTTTTTACAATTTTTTTACTTTTTAGGTGTACTTATGTTAGGTGTGTCTAAAAAGTAAAAAAATTGTGTTAAAATATTAAAAAAAATTCAGTAAAAACAAAAAAATACGGAAAATAAGAAAGTAGAATTTTCTGAAAAGTGTTTTCTAAAAAATGAAAACAAGCAAGCTGATTGGTACTATGTACGTGTTGAAGACATTTACACAATAAAATCACAGTTCCAAAAAGCAATTGGCTTTTGGATATTGACTTAACAGACAAAGCTAGATGTCTATAATAAAACTGTACATTAATTTAAAAGTGAATTACACTAATAGTCCCTATAATTTGGAGTTTGTGTCACTTTGATCCCTGACTTTTCAATTGTGACACATTTGACCCTGAATTTTGAATCTTATTCTAAATAAAGACAATTAAAGATATTATTAGATTTTTCAAGGGTAAAATCGTCAATTTGATAAAATATTAAACTAATTTGACAAAAATAAATGTCAAACAAATATTTTTGAATTTTTAAAAAATTATTTCTACCCACTAAAAATAAAATTATGTAAAATTGACAATTCTTTTAGACATTTATTTTTTTTTTTACCAAATTAATTTTTATTATGTGTTTAGATGATGATCATGTAAAATTAATTTTTAAAAATTAATCATGTAATTTTTATTAATTTTTATCAAATTTACATAGTTTTATCATTGGTGGATAAAAATAATTTTTTAAAAATTAAAAATATTTGTTTGACATTTATTTTTGTCAAATTAGTATATATTTTATTAAATTGACGATTTTGCCCTTGACATTAAACAATGATATCTTCAATTGTCTTTATTTGGAACAAGATTCAAAATTCAGGGTCAAATGTGTCACAATTGAAAAGTTAGGGACCAAAGTGACACGAGCCCAAACTATAGGGACTGCTAGTGTAATTTGCCCTTAATTTAAATAACCACATATTGCAATAACCATGAAATAAGACATTCTTAAAATACGATCATCCAAATTTGGCCCCTTCTAAGTTGAAATAGATTGTTGCTCAGTTTGACATTATTTCAAGCATGAAAATGCTAAGATGAGATAAATTGAAAAGTAGCTAAGTTCATGAGGCAATTCTCGGGAATGGTAATAAGGCATTACAGTCATTTGCATGTTGAATGGATAGATTTAGCAATTGGTACCAACAAACTCCCGCATGGGGGTTTAAACAACTTGTCCTTCTAATATACATTCTTAAAAGTCACATTCACATGATTAAACAATTCCTATTTTTCCAATATGTTCTCAAAATTGGCATTTTGCAAAATGAAGACAACAATAAAAATTAACTGAAAAGAATAAGATGCTCAACTGCCCAAGAAAACAAAAAGGCTTGTAAATGGAAGAATCAGTAGAACATGAACTTACGTGTCATCCTTCTTCAACCTGTAAGCAAGATACTTGCTCAATATCTCATCAACATTGGGACTACGCGGAAGTTTTACAAGCTGCAGTTAAGGATTGTCCACATTAATCAAACCCTAAGAATAAGTTAGAGATAGCATTAAGAGGTCAATCTTCACTACACCACAAATGGACATATGAAAATAAGCATAAAATAAATAAAAATAACATGTAAACAATTTTAGGACATCTGCAATATACATCATAACCCATGTACAGAGAAAAACAGAGCTAAATAAAAACCAACTAGCCTGCACAATACCACAATTCCTCTACCACATACGCCCAAACGATCTCCTAAATAATGAGGAAATAGCAACTTGTCACCTCCTGACCCATGTTGAAAAAATAATATCAAAAGGCAAAACTCTATTCATCTTGTTAGATAGCTTGATATACATTGTTGGGCCCATTTCCCAATAGCTTAGGCTTGTGGGAAATTGGTGACTTGACACAACCATCCTAATACTTAAAACCCTACCGTCTTATAAAAGGACTATAATTATAGTTTCCACTGGCTTCTTGTTTAAATCCCAATCAAGATGTTACAATTCATCTAAACAAAATAAATATGAATCATGTCGAAAATCTATTTGAGGTAGGATCTCATGTCCTCATAGCCAGATCTTGTCACATCATGAAATCCTGATCCAAATCCCAAAATAAATCTGTTCCCACAAAATAAATTCTTAGAATCATCTAATCCAATAGATAAGTTCAGAAAAAAAAAAAATGTAAATACCTTGCCCAGATGAGTAATAAACTCACAATCATCAACTAATTGCTTCTTTAATGTTGATGGAATATGGATGTTGACTAGCTTTTCCGGTGGCACACTGCCTTTCTCCTGGAAATGACAAGGCATAAACTTAGTCTAAAGACCTCAAACTATCAAAGGAAAACACTCTAGAAAAACTTATAAACAAAATAATGAAAATCATAAGCTAATTTCTAAGTTATGTTTGGATTAGATTATTCAAACTGGACTTAATAATTATATAAATAACTGTTTTATAATTGATACATTAAATTTCTACTTGATTGAATAAAGTAACAAAAGGGCGCAGAAAAGTCCACTGGTTGGATTGTGTCTGGAATTTTTCATGTCCAACAATGATCAATTACCTCATTTGGCCTATTGCTGAACTTCCTTAATTGACAACAAATAAGACAACAACAAACCAAAATATATATATATAAAGGAGGCATTTAAGAGATATGCAATTTAACCATGTCCTAGTGCCCTTGAGCAAGAGAATTAGATGAATACAACACTCAACACATCCCCACACCCAATAACCATATCCGAATTCATGTAACAGTGATTGAATCCCTACCTATTCCTCTCCTTGGCAATTACAAATGTAGCATATGGCTAATCTGAAGTTTCTGGGCACTTATTTTTAAAACGATCTTTCCATGTAAATGTTTCACATGCTTTAAAAAGCCTCACTGCAGTTAACATATTAATCAATGCAGGAATCAAATGATTCCAACACTCATTGAGTAAACTAAAAATTATTTGTCAATAACCCATTGAATCCTCCAAAATACACCAAACACTAGATATCAGGACAAAACTAAAGACTTAAACATGCAGACAACCTCCAAGTGATACACAATATTCTATCAAGGAACAACAATAAATAATTATATTAACATCAAATTTTCCACCTATTTCCCATGAATCAACATTTATTTTCCAACAAGCTAACAAACTAGACAGTGAAACACGTACCATGCACAAATATATACACATAAACATATGTTTAAGAAGCACCTTTTATAGCACGTAAATCAAAGTGTACCTTAGTAACAGAGTCATTCTTCCGCTTCTTCCCTCTTGCCACTGCAAAGAGTTCCCATCACAGCTTAAGAAGAGACCACTTCTGAGAATAATTTCCAGACATGTGCAGTCAAAAAACACAATTTGTTTTTGCGAAAACATTGTAATTATTGGAGGTATTTATTTCATCAAAATGACAAAGTTGGAGGACCACTAATGCCAGGGCTACCTTGGCTGCTGGCAGGACAGTTCAAGAAAATTTTGGTTTTGAAATGCCCTGGCATCAAGCCTAGGTAGCCGTAGCAATACAGCTGCCCAAAAGATAAGATTTCACCACATAGTAGATTCAAGTTATAAATAAATCATATAGATGGTTTGAAATTACATAGATATATAACTTCTTTACGCCCAAGTCATTTAACAATTCATGCACAGAAGCAGAAATCGAGTCATATACTCAAACTACACTTTCAAAAGGTAATATTCTTCAACTATATAAAGAGAAATTGAAAGGCAAAAAGAAGAATAGAAGAAAATATGTAACTATTTCCAAAATATGCTTATCCTACAAAGTTAATTATTAACAAATAATTGCATGAATTTTTTTTTTTTTTTTTTGAAGAACCAAGCCTAAACAAAACAATAACCAAACGTAAAAAACCAAAATTTAGACTAAAAAATGAAGCTAACCAGTAGAATTTCTTGGTTTAATCTGTGATGCGCGCCCGCTCTTTGTGATCTTCTCTGTGTTCCGTTTCTCATTGAGCTCCTGTTGTTTCTGGACATTATCTTCAGTAAATTTCATCAGACGATCCATGCCTACCCATTCATCCCAACTGTTCAAGAAAATTTCTACAAAGTTAAACTTCACCAAGTTGGCCAACATAGCATGCTAAAATTGGGAAGTACCCCGTCTTCTCCGTTGAAACTCCAAAAGCAAACCTCCCACCCTCCCTCTTCTAATAGAACTGTATATGTATTCAAATATAGAAACATACAGAAGTTCAAGAAAAAATAAAACCAGAGTTCCAATTGACAAAAACAACATATGCATAAGTACAACTACTGAAAATTACTATGAAATTAGGTACTATAATGTAGAGGATGTACTCACTTTTTGTTCCACCCCTGCAATACAAACACATAAATGGACGTAAAAGTTAATTCCTTAACCAACACACTAACATGGCACAACTTTATGGAATATTATTTAGGAAAAAGAATGCGTACAGGATAATGAACGAAGTATCTCCATTCCTTCATTCGAAATTCAACTTTTTGCACCTTGCAAATAAAAAACCACACATCATATATAACTTAGGCCTTAAGCTCAGAGAGCATTTAATCTAAAAAATAACAGAATATGTCAGTCTAGCAGAAACAAGTATGTTAAGAGCATCTCTCTCACCAGCAACCAAAAAAAAAAAAATTAATGCAGTCTGGCATTGATATTTGAGAATGATGCAGTAACAAGAAAATCTTCCAGAGGAGTCTCTATCATGAAAAGGTAAAAATTGCAGTAATGGATGGTTTTTTTTTAAATAAAAGAAAAAAAAGGGCTTCCTCATAGCCATTATTCCATTATAAAATGTTCCATTGAAAACCAAATAAGCAATGCAATACACCTGTGACAATAGAAGTAAACAGAGAGCAGAAAAACACAAAAGCATGATATAATATATACAAACATACACACACACAAAATATAATATACTATTAAATTAACACTATTTAATACTGTACTATATACAAAGCAAAGCCTCCGGTTCGTGTGAATCCAAAAGTGAAGCTGGGTTATCATGTTCTAAAAATACAAGTAACCGTTTAATTGTTCAGTGCAAAACTTGAAAATCCAACCCTTTCACAATCAGTCAATTGTCCTTTTGTCAAACGAAGTCAACAATAAGATTGGCGTTTCTCTGTCCATACCACACACTCTCATCACGGTTCTTCCAACTATCCCCTTGTTCTCTAACAAATTATGCATGCATAAATATATGCACATATAATTTGAAACCAATCAAATTCAACCAAAGGAAAACTTTAAGAAGAAAATACACTTTAACCCCTTTGAAAAAACAACAAGGATACAAATTAACTGATTGTTTCATTCTCTTCCCTATCCATCACCTTCAATTATTTAGGTTAAGAAAAAAAAAATTTGTACAGTAGACTATGAATCAAAATGCCTTTCCACAATTGGATCAGCAAACTGAATATCCTTGGAACCAATAGAGACATACATGAGATCAAAACATTTAAATTTTATCTTTACTTTTCGTTCTGTTTCTGGTCAATCTCCGATGATCGGAGAGAGGGAGAGTACCTTGGCTTCGTAAATTTTGAGTTTATGGTAGGCGAGGACCTTCTCGCCTTCAGAGAAGGGACTTGAATCGGGAGAAGAAAGGGAATCTACGGAATCTCTGATGTCGATGTCTGTCTCGGTGGTGGAGCCGTCGGAGATGGTGGCGGAGTCGTCCGTAACCCCCGCGTTAGAGCTCCCCATTCTTCAGGGAAATTACGTTGCCGCTAATACTCTCTTGCTCTCATGGCGGCGGCGGCGGTGGTTAGGTTGTGGTCTTGCTGTAATGGCGGTTCTATGTGAATGCAGCAACTCCGATGGGTGCCTGATCAGCAACCGAATCGGGGTTTTTTTTATAGCTGCGTTGGCTTTCACTTTTTTCCTCTTCTCTGTTCCTCTCCCACAATTTTTTAGGACAAATTATAGTTCCGTAGTTTGTTAGTTTTTAATTTTAATTTGATGTTCATCCTTCTTATTATCAATTTAAATAAATTAAAAAATGTAATTGTTCAAAAGAAAAGACTATGAAAAGGTTGCGTGCACTTTAAAAAGATATTATAATTTTATATTTTTTTAATTATAATTAAAAATAAAAATTATAATTATATCTTTTTAAAGTGTTTTTTTTAGATTCAAATGAAAAGAAAAGAACAAGAGTTAAAGAGTTAAAGTTACAAACAGAGAGCTAGTCCCTCACAAAGCTAACTCCAGTCATGTCATCAATAAGGTTCAATGACAAGTATTGTAAAATTTCCTTTATTGAAATACTGAAGAAGGTTTATTTTTTAACTTTTTAATTTTAATTATCAATTATTAAATCATGAAAAGTAGCGTAAAATTGTATGCAAAATTAAATTCAAAAATATCACATAAAGTAAATTAAGAAATAACATGTATGATTTGTCTTCTTTCTCTTTTTCTTTCTCTTTCTCTTTTTTTTTCTTTTTTTTTTTTTTTTTTTTTTGTTTTTGTTTCATTTTCGAACGGATTTAATGATACCCAAAAAAATGTCTGGGCCATGGAATTGTAAATTTGTTCACATACTTATGAGCAATACACAACATTTCATTGTAAAATAATAATAATAATAATCATAAATAAATATACATTTGTATAAATAAAAATAAAAATAAAATCATTTCAAATTTAGTTACCTCTAAAAATGAGGATGTACAACTTTTTTTTTCTCTTCCATTTCCATTTTCCATTTTCTTTTTGCTATTCAAACACAACCTTTTTTTTTTTCCAAAGACTGACAAGATAATCAAGCACTTCATAATCTGCCAATGCATACTCCTCAGTATGAGTTTGTTTTTGTATAATTTTGACAATTAGACTAACAAGATAATCAAGCACTTCATAATCTCCCAATGCATACTCCTTGGTATGAGTTTGTTTTTGTATAATTTTGACAATTAAAACGCTTAGACTGTTTTTGATTAAAGGATTTGATAAGAAAAATAGAAAGGAAAAAGAAAATGCAATCCCAATTTTTGTTTTATTATAATGGAAAATACAAGAAAAAAGTAAGTAAGAGGGAAATACCTACTTTTTGTCTTTTAGGTTCAATTATGCTCTTTTTTGTTCACTTATGAATTTTTCTTTTTCTATTTTCCAACTCAACAAAACATAACTTGTAATTCAAATCATATTAATTCTTTCTCATTTTCTTTCTATTTCATTTTCTCTTTCCATTTCCATCATCAAATCCACTAACCAAATACAGCCTTAAGCAATAAATAATAAACATGAGTGATAACAGCCAAATTAGATTGTCTGATTGAACTAGTCTCTTTATTGTCTGTACTTGCTTGGATGCTGAGTATACTCCGTAGTGCAAGATAGCTCTCTTCCTCCAAATGAAGGTAAAATATATCTGTTTGTCGCGTTAACCACAGCAAAGATTGTATACTCGAAATTTTACACCTAACCAGGCAGGATCCGTATTGTGATTATTCGGTGAGAGCACAAAAAAGAATAAAACTAGGATCAAGATGAAGCACATAAGAATAAAGATTTATGTGGTTTGTCCTAAAATATGATTACTTCCATAGTCCCTATGATTTTACTATGATCTAAATGGAGTTACAACATAACTACAAATACACAATACTAAAGCAACAAGACATAACTGTGAAATATCACAAATATCCTCTCTAAAAAATTCAGCTAGTTTTAGTGTTCAGTCGATTCACATTTGCCACCACCTTTGTTGTGCCTGCAAAAATGTAAAAATGTGATGACTAAATGTAAACGTTGCCATGAAGTAATTCACACTGAATTCCCATTAGACACATTGAAGATGACACCATCAATAACAGCAGAAGAACTATTGTCCTGTTGATGCAAACTTGGTTAAAGAAATAGTTTCATGTTGCAGACAAAGTTGCAAAGCCTACAACGAAAAATCCATTTGACAGAAATGTAAAGCTGACTAATCGAACCAAACCAAAATCAGAAGTAGCAGAGACGAGTGGTCATCGCTCATCAGAAATATCATCAACAAAAGTGAACTTTATTGCTATATATGAAGTACGTCTTCAAAAGATTAATGACTAGTCTTAATGACCTACATTGAGTGCTAAACTGGTTTAAAACAATTAAAGAAAAACAAAATTGTCCGGAAAACACCAAAAATAAAAATCTCCGGTTCATGCTTGTACCAGTCAACAAACTCAGTGTCCATCACCGGGGCTTGGACCAGAATGGTTAATCTTCGATGGAGATGGAGGGTCGGTGACAAGCTCACCTCCCTTACCCACAGCGCTTGGACCTCCAATTTTGATGTCTCCAATATATAACACACTAGTTGCACCAGAGTTCTTGATCTCTCCTCTCAGGCCTTTAGTTTCAATGTCTTCAATGCACGATTCATCACAGGCTTTCACAATTTTTGTGTCTTTGGAGATGTGATGCTTAGCAGCATTGAGAGTCCGAGCTTCGATCGTGAAAAATAAAGGGCTTACAAGTAGAAGAATGAGGGACAGAGATAGAGAATTAGGCCTGGCAGGCATTGGAAGACAGTAGTTGAATTGCCCCGGAGAATACTAAAATTGATGCTATTGAGAGAAGTTGCAAGCTTTGTGCGAACTTTGCACAATGGGGTTAAGTTGGAGGTTGGGTCCAATATTTATAGGGCATGGAATGTGAGGCCAATTTGAATAGGGAATGAGGAAGTGCCATGTGGGTGGGTTGAACCAGCTTTTTGAGGTGGCACCATCTGAGTTGTTTTAAATGGAATCAAGAGACCTTCATTTTGGATTACAAAATACATATATCTCAGTACAACAGACAATACCAGAAATTCTAGTCCACGTTTGAACACATTAGTTAATTAAGAGAGAGAGAGAGAGAGAGAGAGATTCTATAAGCGCTACAAGGACCTAAAGGATAAGATACAATGACATACAACCAAACAGGGCAGTAGAAAGTTTCATAGACATCCTAGCCACAATATCAGATGCAAAACACAACCTTCCTAGTAACTTTTTCTTGCCACAGACACTTTACTATTGATCTTACAGATTATTTGTTGAAATGTTTCAGGTTGGACACTTTTGCCCGTTTATAAAACTATTTTGAACTTGCATCCAAGAATTACTGGACTTTATTAATCATTCTGAAATGTTTTTATTTTATTTCTTTATTAAAATTGCTTTCCCCTATGCTTTTGAAAGAAAACTCTTGCATTACTTCGACATATACGGGGGTGTTTGGCAAGAAAAAAAATAGCCTATTTTAGGCTAAAATTCACAAAAAGACAAAATAGACTAAAATAGCTAATAAGACAAAATATCACATCAAACCCATAATCATTTCACTTTTTCTCTCACAAACATCACATCCAATTATAAAAAAATCCAATCATCTTCCCAAACGCAAAAATTTTAGCTTACTAAAATAGCCAAAAACTAAAATAGCTTACTAAAATAGTAACTTCCCAAACGAAGCCATAGTATCACCATTCAATAAAAAAACCATTACATTGACTTAGTGAACTCATTGGATGGAAGTTACATTTTAAATCGTAAAATTCACTTATTCTATGTGGTATTTTATTATGAAATGATGATATCACATATTAATAATAACATTATATTATTGTTTTCTTTAATTTTTTGAAAAATTATAGACTATTCCCGGAGTACCACGTATCCGTACTCTTAACCAATCATAATTTATTCTGTCCCCTCGTATTCCTCAATCACCTAACACAACACCCAACCTACACCTACCTTCTCCACTGATCAGAATACTATAGAATACCACATGACTATACTCCAGAATTACTTATTATTGTTATATGCAGCAACAAGCGGTATATAATAGGAGAGAGGATCTATGCCATTTTGTATGTCATTGCCTCCGTTTGGCAAGAAAAAGCCCAGGCTTTTTTGGCTAAAATAGCCACAAAAAACAAAATAGGCTATTTTAGCCACAAAAAACAAAACATCAAATCCAACCCATAATCATTACAATCCTCTCTCACAAAAAAAGTCAAAAAAGCCAAAAAGCCAAAAAGCCCTTCCCAAACCAGGCTAAAATAGCCAAAAAGCTAAAAAGTCAAAAAGCCAACCCACTTCCCAAACGGAGGCATTGTCACCTTCGAATTTTTTTAAAAAGCTTTAATTTTCAATTGGATTTTAGCAAGCGATATAATATTGGGTGATTTAATTTTACTTTTTCTTTAGCCCTTATTTTCCTGCAACTTTCTCGAGAATCAAACAACAGCATAGCTTAAGAGGAAGGCTGGTCGGTTACCACCCAATAGTCTAATCACAAATGGAGGTCCAACGCGGTAAAGTATATGGCTCAACATTGCAGTCTAAAGTAAATCATAACCCGGACCTGCCTTAAAATATTGGTGTTACTAATTCTATGGAATTGAAAGTAGGGGTGTACACGGTTCAGATTGGTTTGGTTTTGAGAAAATTCAAGAACCGAACCGATCCTAATGGTTCTATAATTTTGAGAACCAGACCAGACCGTTACGGTTCCAAAAATTTCTATTTACAAAAATAAATCATTAATATTAGCAAAATAATTACTCCAACTAATTACATTTAACTCATGATAAAAACTAACAATATTAAGGCATTACTTAATATTATATATCTATATCATCCTAATATCATTAAAATTATAAAAAACCAATTAATAAAAATAAAACTTGACATTATATTTTATGTAGATATATATATATATGTCTTTTAAAATTCGGTTCGGTTTGGTTCGAACCGTGATTTTTTCATAAAATCCGTTAACCGAACCGTTTTTACGGTTCTCATATTTCTTAATTCGAAACCGAACCAATTCTTAATGGAACCGAACCAAACCGTACGATTCGGTCTGGTTCGGTCCAGATTACCGGTTTGAACGGATTTTTGAACAACCCTAATTGAAAGTACATAATTTGTACCAGCAAATGCATGGTTTTCC